ATCGGTACAAGGACATCATTCGTAAATATAAATCAACATGCAGACATCTTATACGTTCAGGTATTTCACATCCAATATTTAATGGTAATATTCATTACAAAGCACAAAAATGTCGGCATTCACCTCAAAAGCTAACCAAACCTTTAAACAGACTTATTCGGAAAGGATAAAGTTACGATAATGTTGTCAAGTCATTAAGGATTGCATATTTTGGTATTAATATTGATTTACTCATAGGGTCTTTGCATCGGAAATAAACACATTTATTCTAAAACCAGTTGTTGGCATGATACGGGTTATGTTCTTCTCATATATTTTATGATGGTATGATACTAAACCCCTAACGGGAGGGATTGTACTTGATTTTCATATGATGAAGACCTAATCTTTCAATCAGTTTAATTGAGGTTTGGAGCTGGCATGTCAGTAACTGATAGTAGTCCTTTGTTCATTTATGTATCATTGTCATTTTGCTTAGTTTAATTCTTTTGTTACCTATTCTGACATCGGACTCGGACTTCTTTTAAACTGAGTTTTACACTGCTTATTGCTATGTGTTTCTTTTTCTACATTGACTAGAGGTATAGGGGGAGTTTTGAGATCTCACAAATCATGTTTAACCCCGCCGCATTTTTACGCCTGTCCCAAGTCATGAGCCTCTGGCCTTTGTTAGTCTTGTATGTTTTTTAATTTTAGTTCATTTAAAAGTACATCAGGATTGGTTGTTTTTCATAAAATAGGCTGAATTTCAGGGAAAAGATAATAAATTTTTGTTCGCATTGCTTAAATATGCAAATATTTCTTCTTTTATATCAAAAATAATTCAACGTCAATTGCAATCAGTCACAAGTAATGCATTCAGATAAGTACTTTTATATAAGATATGAATAATTGAAGGATAAATATGCATAAACTTTTGTTTTTGTTAGATAAAAAGCAATAATTTCTTAATTTTGATAGAAATTTTGAACCATCATTTGATTTTGGTTCTTTTTGTACATCAGGATTGGTTGTTTTCCATAAAATATTCTGAATTTAAGGGAAAAGATACTAAATTTTTGTTCGTGTTGCTTGAAAATGTAAATATGTCTTCTTTTGTATCAGAAATAATTCAACGTCAATTGCAATCAGTCTCAACTAATGCATTCAGATAAGTTCCTTTGTATAAGATATGAATAATTCACTGATAAATATACATAAACTTTTGTTTTTGCTTGATAAAAATTCAAAATTCCTCTATTTCAATTTAAATTGTTGACTACCTATGGCTTTTTGTACTTTTATGGTTTAGGATTGGTTGTTTTTTATAGAATCAAAATAATATCTGAGAAAATATATTAAAATGTTGTTCGCAATGAATAAAATTACCAATTTTTCTTCTTTTGATAAAAAATAATGCAATGTTATTTGTAACTTGTTATTTCAAAGTCCTCCAATAAGATTTTTTTGTAAGAATTTTGATAATGTAAGGAGAATAATACTTAAACATTTGTTTTGTGTTGAATACGAATTCAATAATGTCATTATATTGATAGAAATTATGAATCGTCATTTGATTTCGGTAGATTTTGTACAGCAAGATTTGTTGTTTTTTATAAAATATGCTGAATTTGAAGGAAAAGATACTAAATTTTTGTTCGCATTGCTTAAATATGCAAATATTTCTTCTTTTATATCAGAAATAATGCAACTTCAATTGCAATCAGTCATTATCAATGCCTTTAGATAAGTAATTTTGTATAAAATTTGAATCATTGAAGGATAAATATGCATGCACTTTTGTTTTTGTAAGATAAGAATGCAATAATTTCTTTATTTTGATAGAAATTATGAACCGTAATTTGATTTTGGTTCTTTTTGTACATTAGGATTATTTTTTTTTTCATAAAATATGCTGAATTTCAGGGAAAAGATACTAAATTTGTGTTCGCGTTGCTTAAAAATGCAAATATTTCTTCTTTTATATCAGAAATAATTCAACATCAATTGCAATCAGTCATAAGTAATGCATTCAGATAAGTACTTTTATATAAGATATGAATAATTTAAGGATAAATACACATAAACTTTTGTTTTTTTAAATAAGAATTCAATAATTTCTCTTTTTTAATGGAAATTATTGAACGCCTATGGCTTTTTGTACTTTTTATGGTTCAGGATTTGTTGTTTTTCATAAAATATGTTGAATTTAAGGGAAAAGATTCTAAATGTACTGTTCGCATTGCTTAAAAATACAAATATTTCTTCTTTTATATCAGAAATAATGCAATGTCAATTGCTATCAGTCATTATAAATGCCTTTATATATTAAGTATTTTTTAATAAAATGTGAATAAATGAAGGATAAATATGCATAAACTTTTGTTTTTGTTGAACAAGAATGCAATAATTTCTTTATTTGAATGAAAATTATTGACTGTCATTAGATGTTTGTACTTTTCATAGTTTAGTATTGGTTGTTTTTCATAAAAGTAAAAGAAGATCATAGAAAATATCCTTAAATGTTGTTCGCATTGTTTAAAATTACCAATTTCTCTTGTTTTGTTAAAAAATAATGCAATGTTATTTGTAACTAGTTACTTCAAAGGCTTCAAGATTATTTTTTTTATAAGAATTTTAATATTATAAGTAGAATAAGGCTTAAACTTTTGTTGGTGTTGAAAATGAATGCAATAATATCTTCATTTTGATAGAAATAATGAATCACCATTTGATTTCAGTACTTTTTGTACATCAGGATTGGTTGCATTTCATAAAATATGTTGAATTGAAGGGATCAGATGCTAAATTTAATATTTGCATTGCATAAAAATACAAATATTTCTTCTTTTATATCAGAAATAGTGCAATGCAATTGCTATCAGTCATTATAAATGCTTTATGCTTTATTTGAATGGAAATTATTGACCGTCATTGGATTTTTGTACTTTTTATAGCTAATGATTGATTATTTTTTATTAAGTTAAAAGACTATAAGAAAAAATATTCTATAATGTTGTTCTCGTTGTTTGAAATTACAAATATTTTTTTTATTTTTGAGAGAATTTGCACCATTTTTATTTTTATTTGTGATTTGTTATTTTAATGGCCTCGAGATAAGTTTGTTTAAAGAATTTTAAGATTATAAGGTTAAAATACTTTAAAATATTTAAAAATAATACATCGAAATTTGCAATAAATGATCATTTCATTTTATTTTCAAGAGCATTTTCGGAAAATAATAAAATCACTGAAAATCGCGATCAACACCCTTTTAGAAATGTCCGGGTTTGAAAAAAATATAACCTAAAATTAAAACGAAAATAGCCATTCTTTAATAGTAATATTTAAATTTAGTTTTATATGCATAATTCTTTTCTTTTTAAATTCTTAAAACTGTGCTAAATAATTAATAAAAAAAGATGTTGATCATTTGTACTTGAATGTTTCGTATTTTCCATGTCGCCATTTTAATTAAATGAAACGAAACTAAGATTTCGTAATTTGTATTAGTTTATCATGTGACGTAGTAGAGTTCAATCCGTCAGAAAGGTCGATCGGTCCTATCCGTCCGATCCGTCCGATCAGTCAAAAACTTTTACTAAAAGTCTGACGGATTGGTGACGTGAGTTTGACGCGAGCTTGACTGATCGGTGACTGATCGGTGACCGCTGATTGATCGCTAAAAAAGTAACGCCTAAGGTTGCAAGTACTGTAACAATGTGCTGAATGAGAAAATTGTATGTACATGTAATAGAAAAAAGGATATGGGGTATTCACCCATGACACAATATCAGTACATACACAAAAACATACAAAACACACAAACATGACATAAAAAGCAAAGAAATCTTCATATGTATCATTTATAAGCTATACATTGACCATGCAAATAAGTTGTTATTGGTTGTATACATAGATCAGTTTCAAAAACCTTTTTTTTCCAACCTAATCATATTCGACGATATAGAAGCTGTATGTACCATTATAATTAAAATCTTGTAAGATTTGCAAATTTCTAAAAAACATAAAATAAAAGACCTTCTGAATTTAGTTTGTTAAGTAAATTAACAAACACATTTTGCACATATACTGACGGACCTTAAAAACACAACACACATTTTGTAGATTTGTTAACCAAATCATGATTGATCCTTATATAACGACTATTCATGCTTACCATACATACTTCTTTTTGTTTAGAAAAATCCAATATCTGACTTAGCTGAGGTTATTGCACATACTGGTTTATTGAAGTCGCACGAATTTCTTAAAGCAAAAATTGAAACCCATAAATGATTTTTTTAAGTTTTTTTTCTTCGTGAAGCAATTCTTTCAATCCATATCCACATTTAAATCATTTAATAAATGATGCATCTCGATATTGAGCAATTAAAATCTGAATCAGCCCATACCAATATTGCAGACAGGAAAACGTGAACGTGCTGTAACAAGGCAATTTGACGTCAAAAACTAGTCTTTCTGTCCTTCCAACAACGTTACAGGCAGACGGGTTTTGTTGATGACCATCCATGACCAGATCAATATGTAGTGACAGCGCCACGTCAATAGAATTTGATTACACAACGTCATTTGCGAGACATGTTTACGACCGCAACGTCAACTGCTAATCAAATCGCCAAATGTCAGGGCAGACAGATTCATGCCATAAATGTTTCCCATAAACTGAAATGCCAAAGAATCGACTTCAAAAAAACATTTATAGCCCTAAAGTTTAAACCGCATAATTGCCAAAACACACTGTAATGGGTGGGACAAGGACAAAATCAGAAGGTACAAAACAGAACTCACAACATGCCCAACAGAATTGGTTGACTTTTCTGACAATCATTTTGGCGTTGGTTACAGGCAGTCATTGCCTTTGAAAGAGACACATCCATTGATAATGGAGGAACCAGGGTTTTAGTGCATACCACATGATTAGAACATTTAAAATGACGTAATCAATTTCAACTTTCGAACTGCCAATTTGTTTTAGACAATAAAATAATGAATAAAAATGTTTTTGAACTTCATATATTTGTTTAACAAAAATAGCATATTTGAAAATGAGAATTAAAAAGAATAATCTAGTGTTGCGTTTTCTAGTCGGTCAGTATATAAAACACCCTAATAATGTTTTAATATTAAAACAAATGTTGCTGTACATATTCTTGCATTGCGTCATAAATAGCTTTCTGTTGTCCATTATTACATCCGTGACGTGATAACCATTGCATGAAGTTCCCCGCATCTCGTTGTATAAATAGAAAATACCCGAGTATTTGTGATGCCTACAAAAATCATAAGATATTGTCACGTAATAATGAATAAGTCAGTTTTATTCTATATTAGATATAAGGGATAAAAGATACACACAGTCTGTAGTATCTTTTCTTATAAACCGACTTATGCAATGCGCAAAATGGCATTTTATGGTCAAAATTCTGAAGAAGATTTATTTCATTTTACAACGAATTTAGATGAGTAAGCGGGTGCAAATGTGTATTATAGTGTTCCGATATGAAGAAGTCCATGTCATCGCTAAGAAACCACAAAAGTTCGTTCATATGAAGTAATGAAATAAGAGGTTAAAAGTTTAACTATGTGCATAAAATTCTCTGAAAACTTTTTTATATATACTTTCAGATAGGTCAGAAGATATTGAAGATAGAAAAATGGGACTGAAGGACGAACGTACATTCGGAGTGCTTCTCCGTACTATAAACTTTCCGCTTTACAAAGCAGAAATATTATACAATTACAGCCTTTGTATGAGGTCGATACGAGGATATATCTACCTGAAAGAAGTATGTCGTTTGAAGACGAAGTATAAGGTCGATATCCTTCTTTAGGTTGACATATCCTCGTAACAATCTTCTACAAAGGATACATGCAATTGTTATATTATCATTTTCAAGGCACCTGAAATAGAGCAGACATTCATTTGATTGGTTGTTATAATTGTGTCACAAAGGATTGAGGTTTTTAGATTTCAATTAAAAGATATACTAAAAATAACTATGCAATATCACTTTTCTATCTAACGTTTACAGTCTACCTTTGAAAATAGAGTTGAACATGTGATGCATTCTGAACAAATTAAATAAGTTAGAATATACAAAAAATAATATAATAAATTGATTTTGCAACTTAAAATGTCGTTAAGATTACGTTAATGTTAAAGATTATCTATATCTTAAAATGATCAGAAAAAAAATCCAATCGCTGGTCTCGATTTACAAAAAAGAGAGAAGGAAGATGTCACAGAGGTAATAAAAACTCATAAGCCGAAGAGAAACAGACAAGGCAATCGCAAAAAAAAAAAAAAAAACGCAAAGCGTCTAGAAGTCATACAATTGAAAAGTCAACCAAACATTACATAGAAAACGAATGACCGGGCAACACGACCCCCATAAATATCTGGCAGACCTGTGCTGCAGATTGGTAAACAGATTTTGCCCACATAAAAAGACATATGTCTAACAAATCACTCTGAAATGGTCAAAAGTATATAAAAAAATATGCATAATCATGAGTGCAAGGAAGAACAGGAATTTGCAGAGCTAACTTATGAAACTTTTACTAACATTGGGCTTCTCGGATAATATTCTAGCTTCTTGGTTATACATCTAGGCTTCCATCTTTTGAATGTGTAGACCTGAATGAAAACTCCACTGTGATCTCAATTAATTTTGATCGGTCTTGACTACTTACAGTCAAATTTTAAGGGTCATCACTTATCACAGTCAAACATATTAATCTCTATTAGACGAATACTTGTCTAGGCAGGTTCTTCCCGCTGAATTGGTTATCATTCTGAACATATCTTACAAGGTCATTTATATCATAAGGTCAATTTACGCTGTTCCCCTAGGTGACATTAAGGTATAGGTTGTACCGTATTCAATTTGTTTCAATCTGAAATGCATATTTGCACTATAAAAATATATTCTTTTGACTACACTTCCATTGGTGTCATAAAGGTTTGCAAAGTGACCAAACCATGGAAAACTTAATTTCAATCTATTTTTTTCATCATACTTAAAAAAAAAAGCACACAATTTGACGGCAAAAGGCTGACGATTCTAAAATTTGACGATCTGCGCTTTTCTCTAAAGAATTAAAAAATATACTGCATGGTACTTAATTAAATGTATATATATAGGTATTTTTCAGAGATAAAGAAGTACCTATAGCTATGAAATAGACATACACATAAAGATATCAGTAGTTTACACATCTGTAATGAATAACAAACTTGAAACAGTTAAGGTCCATGAAGAAGTGTCAATTATAACTATATGTCTAGAACAACTTTAACAATTAGAGATACAACCTATTTCGGTGTGTATATCGGGGACGGACGGACCGACGCCAAAGGCAAATAATTAAATTTGCAATATATGTATTTTGACAATCTTTATTTGAAGTATAATATTTTGTACTCTTTGAGATTATTATTACGCATTAGAAACTTAAGTCGATAAGATATATTCAAAGCACTCGACGAGCAATTAATAGCCTAATATTGAGCTGGTAGATCTAATGAACCTGTCAGTCATATTTACCTTCTCATGTATTAAAATCTAAGTCTACAAAATCCAAACAATTTGACAGTGGTGATAATGACACCTTCTTTACCTAGATTTATTTTAATTCATCTGGATAATTTCATTTTTATGTTTGTAGCATATATCGTTTTTTGTTGCCAATGGGTTTTGTTCAATTCCGTTATTTTGTCCAATCAGAATAAGGATTTGTGACATCATGCATGCCGTTACCATAGTTAAGCGTCTTTTTTAAATGGGTCACAAACCGAAATTATACTGACTGCGTCTAAAAATGTGGTATGCAACTTCCCATCAGAGTCTTCATACTGAGTATATATTCCAAAGATGACGCTTTATTCCAGAATTTGCATTTTGTGTCAGGATTTCGATGGAGGGTTGCTGCTTACAAAAAAGCTTTACACCAACAACAACGAAACATTTTTTGTGTTAGGTTGGGCCAATTTTAAAATAACTATATAAAGATAAACAACACTACAAGAACTAAAAAGTGTACGATACTAGTCCTTAAAAGGCTTCCAAATATGTTAACCCTGTCCACTATTTAACTTTGTATGCATTATATCATATATTTACATTTATGGAAGTCATTTTCATTATTTGAATTGTGCATTCAGTTGTTTTAATTTCACTCATTTGGGATTTAGCAGATACAATTGATATTCATGTCCTATGGAGCACCTGAGATCACCCCTGTTTTTGGGTGGGTTCGTGTTGCTCTGTCTTTAGTGTTCTGTGTTGTGTTTTGTGTATAGTTGTTTGTCTGTTGGTCTTTGTTTTTTTTTTTTTTTTTTCGACTTATGAGTTTGAATACATGTCCCTTCGGTATCCTTTGCCTCTCTTTTACACATACAACATCAAAAAGTTAGATAAACATACCAGATATATGTTATATATATTGAAATACACGGCTGTTTGTGGTCCTATTTGTGGAATAGCAGTTACTGACTTTGGTCCAATTGGTTCATTTACGAACCGCTGGTGAACTTGTGACTTTGATGGCATCTAAAAACGAATTCTTATACATATATTTCTTTAAAAAAAAACAATCAAAACTAATTAATAAATGATAAACCAATTACACATAATGGTATCAATGAGTGAATTACAATACGAAAAACTTTACTACTGTTCTTTAAAATAGAAAAAAAAACAGGAACACCGAATAAATCAAAATAAAAACATAAATATAGTACAAATGATTTAAAATTAGTAAACTTTTCCTATTAGCACTCCAATATTATTTGTTACACAATGTGCTAGTGACCTAATACAATATATACGGAGTCATTTAATTCCATAAGGGTAGAGAGCAAAGCTCGAACCCCATATGGAATTTACTGACCCCGTATATATTGTATTAGGTCACTAGCAAACTGTGTAACGAATTTATCTTACAGACTATCTTAACTTGTGAAATTTAGACTAGTGGCATATTATAGTAATCAAGTCTTCAATATTAGAACTTATATGGTCTATACAAAAACAAGTACCAACACTAACAATTTGTTAGCTTCTTATGTGTTTCCTGCATTTATTTTCAATCGTTTGTCATCAATTTCTTCGTCTGTTGTCTGGGCAAAATGTTTCAGATTTTTCGTCAACGTTATGATGTTTTTATAAAGGGACGTAACACTGCTACTAACCACGGTGTATTGAAATAAACCACGCCTTGTGACCGAATATTAAATACACTAGTATCCGCATGTTCGCTTTTAACCAATGATATTCCTAAAAATGTATAGGAGGTAAGATAGTAGAAAAACAAAGAATATGGGGTATATATAGATATACAAGTCTAAATTGAAAACAACGTTCAAACCTATGATTGCGTTGGATAAAAACCGCAATTTTAATACGTGTGCATGCAAAACAAATTTCTTGATAGAGGGGTCTAAAAACAGCACAAACAACATTTTCCAAAAGACCAAAAAAGTGAAAAAGTATATTTTAACAAAACGCATTAGACTAACAGGTCGAACAACAGATGTTCTTAAACCCTGCTGACTGCCATTGGCGATTGCCAAATAAACGGATCACAAGATGTTACAAAATGGATCTTTTAAAATTCATAAATTTAATACCAAACAGAAAACAATAAACTTGCGGAAAAGATAGTATACCGCAAACAAAAGGTGCAAAAATTAGTACACCATATCCGGATTTCGACAATTAATGTCTCTTCAGTGATGTTAGGGATCGAAACGTTATTTGGAAGGCCATATAATTTACCTCAATTTGGGATAGACTCTTGAATTTTGAAGAGTCGAAATATTAGAAATAGGATGAACGGATCATATAAACCCGAAAGAAAATATAATACAAGCCCAAACGAAAAAATATAAACAAGTCTAAATTGAAAACAACGTTCAAACCTATGATTGCGTTGGATAAAAACCGCAATTTTTATACGTGTGCATGCAAAACAAATTTCTTGATAGAGGGGTCTAAAAACAGCACAAACAACATTTTCCAAAAGACCAAAAAAGTGAAAAAGTATATTTTAACAAAATGCATTTGACTAACAGGTCGAACAACAGATGTTCTTAAATCCTGCTGACTGCCATTGGCGATTGCCAAATAAACGGATCACAAGATGTTACAAAATGGATCTTTTAAAATTTATAAATTTAATACCAAACAGAAAACAATAAACTTGCGGAAAAGATAGTATACCGCAAACAAAAGGTGCAAAAATTAGTACACCATATCCGGATTTCGACAATTAATGTCTCTTCAGTGATGTTAGGGATCGAAACGTTATTTGGAAGGCCATATAATTTACCTCAATTTGGGATAGACTCTTGAATTTTGAAGAGTCGAAATATTAGAAATAGGATGAACGGATCATATAAACCCGAAAGAAAATATAATACAAGCCCAAACGAAAAAATATAAACAAGTCTAAATTGAAAACAACGTTCAAACCTATGATTGCGTTGGATAAAAACCGCAATTTTTATACGTGTGCATGCAAAACAAATTTCTTGATAGAGGGGTCTAAATACAGCACAAACAACATTTTCCAAAAGACCAAAAAAGTGAAAAAGTATATTTTAACAAAACGCATTTGACTAACAGGTCGAACAACAGATGTTCTTAAACCCTGCTGACTGCCATTGGCGATTGCCAAATAAACGGATCACAAGATGTTACAAAATGGATCTTTTAAAATTTATAAATTTAATACCAAACAGAAAACAATAAACTTGCGGAAAAGATAGTATACCGCAAACAAAAGGTGCAAAAATTAGTACACCATATCCGGATTTCGACAATTAATGTCTCTACAGTGATGTTAGGGATCGAAACGGTATTTGGAAGGCCATATAATTTACCTCAATTTGGGATAGACTCTTGAATTTTGAAGAGTCGAAATATTAGAAATAGGATGAACGGATCATATAAACCCGAAGGAAAATATAATACAAGCCCAAACGAAAAAATATAAACAAGTCTAAATTGAAAACAACGTTCAAACCTATGATTGCGTTGGATAAAAACCGCAATTTTTATACGTGTGCATGCAAAACAAATTTCTTGATAGAGGGGTCTAAATACAGCACAAACAACATTTTCCGAAAGACCAAAAAAGTGAAAAAGTATATTTTAACAAAATGCATTTGACTAACAGGTCGAACAACAGATGTTCTTAAACCCTGCTGACTGCCATTGGCGATTGCCAAACAAACGGATCACAAGATGTTACAAAATGGATCTTTTAAAATTCATAAATTTAATACCAAACAGAAAACAATAAACTTGCGGAAAAGATAGTATACCGCAAACAAAAGGTGCAAAAATTAGAACACCATATCCGGATTTCGACAATTAATGTCTCTTCAGTGATGTTAGGGATCGAAACGGTATTTGGAAGGTCATATAATTTACCTCAATTTGGGATAGACTCTTGAATTTTGAAGAGTCGAAATATTAGAAATAGGATGAACGGATCATATAAACCCGAAGGAAAATATAATACAAGCCCAAACGAAAAAATATAAACAAGTCTAAATTGAAAACAACGTTCAAACCTATGATTGCGTTGGATAAAAACCGCAATTTTTATACGTGTGCATGCAAAACAAATTTCTTGATAGAGGGGTCTAAATACAGCACAAACAACATTTTCCGAAAGACCAAAAAAGTGAAAAAGTATATTTTAACAAAATGCATTTGACTAACAGGTCGAACAACAGATGTTCTTAAACCCTGCTGACTGCCATTGGCGATTGCCAAACAAACGGATCACAAGATGTTACAAAATGGATCTTTTAAAATTCATAAATTTAATACCAAACAGAAAACAATAAACTTGCGGAAAAGATAGTATACCGCAAACAAAAGGTGCAAAAATTAGTACACCATATCCGGATTTCGACAATTAATGTCTCTTCAGTGATGTTAGGGATCGAAACGGTATTTGGAAGGTCATATAATTTACCTCAATTTGGGATAGACTCTTGAATTTTGAAGAGTCGAAATATTAGAAATAGGATGAACGGATCATATAAACCCGAAGGAAAATATAATACAAGCCCAAACGAAAAAATATAAACAAGTCTAAATTGAAAACAACGTTCAAACCTATGATTGCGTTGGATAAAAACCGCAATTTTTATACGTGTGCATGCAAATTAGTTTAAGGTAGGCGGGTTATTGGTAACTTTCCTCCAATGAACTAGCCTGTTCGACAAACCTGTGTGCGCTGATGCGTGAAAACTGGCTATGACATTGTAACCGCACATGTCATACATCGGAATATGTCGTGCGTGACCAATGTTTATTGTAGTATTGGTCAGATAATATAAATATTCCCAGCAGCAAAAGACAATTACCAAATTCGTTTATTATATATACATGTATATTGTATGATAATTACAACTGTATATTACTGCTAATGTTTATAATCTGATTCTCATTCAACAAATTTCGAGTGTCCAGGTGATGTTCACACCATAACGGGCTTGTAACAAAAGACACATTATTATGATGATGGTGGTGTTTAACGACATTGACTGGCTATACAGCCCTCGCACGGTCGGCATTTATCACTGCGACCGATCGATAATATAAGACAAATCTGCGTGCCGTGTGCAGAGTGTCGTCCCTCCTCTAGTCTTATTGGTCAAATTTATCTGATATACAAGTTTTAAAAATGGAAGTTTAAATTTGCTTTTTGAAATATTATTTCAGCAGTGCCCCCGAGATACGGTCTTAAAGTGTTAAAGAAAAACAAAACTTTAATAGAAGGATGCATATTAACTATAATGTGTTTTGAAAAATAAATAAGTGAATTACGCAATTAGCGCATCTCAATCACTTTCGATAAAACAGTAATGCATTAATGTTACATCGTTGATTTTTTATATTTAGAAGTGATTTGTGACTGTTGTACGTATAAGCAGAGACATCTATACGCATTCTCGTTTAAGTTTACTATACACACACTATAAATCTTTCTTTGAAATATCAATCATTTTTGGGCAGACTTGCTTAATAAGTTTTTTTTATCTTATAAGCCTATATTGTCGTAAAAAAATTAGGGCCAATGAATTCCCCCCTCCCCCCCTCAGAGTAAAATAATTGTATATTTCATTTAAATTATTGTTTTAAAACGTAATATCCTTTGAGGTCAGCCAAACCCAAATTCAACAACCAGGAGTATTTCCATAGATCGCACAAGGTATTCAACTTGATAAATCGAAATTAAAAAAAAAGTTCTTCGCTATATTTCAAGAAACGTTTTGTGATTATTTACTCTAATCAAATCTGGCCAGGAAGAAATCAGCATTATTTTCATAATATTGAAAGTTTAAAGTTGTTTGTGTAATTTTTTTATTTTTTATTTTTACATTTCATTTATTTCAGCAATCTTTCAAAGTTTCTTTCGCCGGGTTTATTTTCTTTTAGCGGGTTTGATCTTTTTAAAGTGTCTTTCAATAAGTAATAGTACAATTTATTTCCATGATATATATACATGTACATATATATATATATGAATT